CCGGGAGAGATGGCTAAATAAAATCCAAAAAGCAGTAGGTAGCGCATCCCTCTTACCTTCTTTGGGACCCATGGGGATGACTCTAGGAAGAACCTCTTAGCAGGTCAGCCTGAGTACAACGGGAGTCTAACACCTGTCCCAGAAAGATAGGAAAGGACCCAAGAGCAGCCCAAGGCTGAGCCAGCACCGAATCCCATTCTCCTCTGGCGCTTGCCCTTTTTGTGTGTGACAGGGACTAGCTGGCAATAATCAGCAAGGTCCTTTTAGTGTATGCTCTGGTCTTGCTGTGAATAATCAGATGATTGGTTGTGTATATCCTTTTTATGGCTGTTCATTATATCGCCCTAACATAAGGTAATTTAATTTCAGTGGGATAATTAGGGTCTCTCTAATCTAACTGATAGTCTGACTGAAATGAGATTCTCAGAGGGAGATTTGTGTATCAGGAGGCTGGTGACCTCCGGCCCCAATTTTCACACCATGTATTAATCTGACAGCCCGACTTCCCAGGCTAACGCTATCCGGAGGTTCTGCAGTCTGTGGGTCAGAATGCACTCGCCAATGGGATTACGTTATATGTAATGAGATTTCCCTGGGCTCAGGGAGGCAGATCACAGTATTTTAACTGAGACTTTCACATCGGGTGGTACCTTCATGTTAACTCAGCCCCCGAGACACAGGTGCACTGATGGGGAAGTGTGTTTCTGCAGGGAGGGGTGGAGACACTGCTTAGCAGGAGACATAGAGATGGTGCCTTGTGACACACTGTCCTCTCTGCAGGATCCCAAAGTCACCCCACCCTAGCTGAGGTCCACAGGAAAGTAGCCTGGCTCTGACTTGTTCCCGTAGCAGGGGCGACATAAAGAATTTGCTAGCTAAGTCTGGGGTGGACAAACAGTAAAGAGAATCCTGGAAAGAACTAGAAGAGGCTCAGTAGGGTCAGGACGGTATTTTAAGTCCTCACATCTGCTTCCCAGTTCTCAAAGATCCCCAGTGCCTAACCTGACACATCTGTCCCCAGTCATCTGAGGCAGGGTCCTGGCTCTGTGGAGTTCACCAGGAGCTCACCTGCACCAGACAGTGGTTGGGTACCAGACAGACAAAGGGCACTCCTGATCCTTATGTTCTTCTGGTTATAGCATTCAAAATTCTGCCATACATTTCCTTTATGTTTCTATTAGAATCTAAATAAAGGGGGGAAATCTAGTTCTTTGGAAGAAATAATTTCTTTTTAACAAGGTGACAGTCGTGAGGTTCCATCTGGTTCCCCCCATTTTCTCTGTTGTTTGAAAGTCCAGAGATCAATGCCATACTCCATCACAGAAACAGCATTGCATGAGTTTCTTCTGTTACTTCCCTTATTTTCTACTTTCTTGCTTTTCTATTTCTAATAAAAAAACATTTGCTTAAATGAGTTATATTTGGCAATCTATGCTAAGTTCATTTTGGAATGAATATATCTTTAAAAAAAGGGATACAGGTATGAACTGTGAAAGCCCTTTTGGTAAACCCTTTAGTGGGGATGGGCTACTTAGTACATGTTGTTAACAGACATTTGAGCATGACACATTGACCCTCTTCTAAGCAGCTCACGGGAAGCTCTACCAGCATTTCCATTTTATGGTGTGTGTGTGTGTGTGAATGGGTGTGCTCGTCTGTGTGTGTGTGAACCTACATATGAAGATCACAGTTGACATTGAGCGTCTCTCTCCATCTCTTCCCACCGTAGAGAGGTGTGTGTGTGTGTGTGTGTGTGTGTGTGTGTGTGTGTGCTAGCAGGTGTGCTCGTCTGTAGGTGTGTCTGTATGTGAAGATCACAGTTGACATTGAGCGTCTCTCTCCATCACTTTCCACCGTAGACAGGATCCTAGAGCTCATAGACTCAGCCACACTGCCGAGCCATCAGTCCCCAGTCATCCCCCATCTCCACCTCAGCAGCACTGGCACTGGCGAGGATCACTTGTGGTCCATCTCTCCTGATATTTTGTCACTGAGGCTGGCAGCCAGCCTGCTCTGCTTGGCCTGAGCTGTCACAGGCACCTCGCTTTAGAGGTAGAGAAAAGCCTTTGCCTCCAGCCCAGGGTATCTCTCAGACTGCTTAGAGAGTCTCACATCCTCATGTCCTTGAGGCACAAATTCTCTTTGAGAGCTGGAGGCTAAAAGGTCGGAGGAACAAAAGAAGGGAATGTTTCGAAAGCCAGTCTTGACCAAGGAAAGCACTCTGCAGGCTGCTTGGAGACCCCCAGGGGACGCCCCATTTCTTGCTTGCACTCTTGCAGCTCACATCAGGTTGGCGCTCATACCTGCGATCTCAAACCTCTCATAGGTCCTCACCTTTGACCCACAGCAAACCACCTACCAGGCGATTGCGTCTCATCTCTGCTGGGTTTGGAAGGCTGGGGGCCAGAATCTGGGCTGAGACACCACCGTTCCAGCCGTCCTAGAGATGCTCAGATTAGGACGGTGTACCAACACTTCAGGAAAAATTGCAAGACACATAAGAATTCCATGGAAGAATCCCTACTGCATTAGCTGAAGCATTGACATGTGCTGATGAAGTGGAAGAAGCAGGGAAGCGACAAGACAAAGCTGGCTGGACATGCTCAAATTTCCTTGTCGGAATGGGGTCTGAGATAGCCAGTTTCTTTGTGATTGATGTAAAGAGTATGTGGATCCCAGATTTGGAAAATCTAAAGTCCTGTGCAAAGGCGAAACTGGGCAAAATCGTCTTTGAGGAAAGGCAGCTGGGAGGTCACAAAAGGCTGGAATGAGCCACACCGCTAAAGATCAGGAGCTAGAATGTTCTAGCAGCTGGAGTTTAAGGAAGGCTGTGGCGTTTGTGGACCTACGCATCACATCCTATTGCAGGCAAGGAAGGGAAGATGAAGGAATTAGTAGGCCGTGAGGCAACAGGAAGCATTTCTGTTAGGTCTATTTGTCCTCCTGTCATTTCTGTTGCTATAATAAAACAACCTGGCAATTGGGGGCACGGAGTGGGATTGCGAAGGGGAGTGGGGAGGAGAACATGAGGGAATAGGATGGTTGAGTTGGGGGGAGGGACAGAGAGGGAGAGGAAGGAAAGAGATATCTTGAGAGAGATAAGCATTATGGTGCCAGGGAAATTCCCAGGAATCCACAAGGATGACCCCAGCTAAGACTCCTAGCAATAGTATAGAGGATGCCTGAACTGGCCTCGCACTGTAATCAGATTGATGACCGCCTTAATTGTCATCATAGAACCTTCATCCAGTAACTGATGGAAGCAGATACAGAGATCTACAGCTAAGCACTGGGCTCCTGGAGTTCAGTCAAAGAGAGGGAGGAGGAATTATATGAGCAAAGGGGTCAAGATCATGATGGGGACACCCACAGAGACAGCTGACCCGAGCTAGTGGGAGCTCAATGACTCTGGACTGACAGCTGAGGAACATGAATAGGACTGAACTAGGCCCTCTGAATGTGGGTGGCAGTTCTGTGGCTTGGGCAGTCTATGGGGCTACTGGCAGTGGGACCAGGATTTATCCCTAGTGCATGAACTGGCTTTTGGGAGCCCATTCCCTATGGAGGGAAACCTTGCTCAGCCTTGATTCAGTGGGAAGGGGCTTGCTTTCTGCTTCAACTTGGTATGCCAGACTTTGTTGACTCCCCGTGGGAGGCCTTGCCCTTTCTGAGGAGGAGATGGGGTTGGGTGGGTGGGGGGAGGAAAAGTGGCAGGAGGGGAGGGAGGGGGAACTATTGTTGGTATGTAAAATAAAAATTAAAAAAAAAAAAAACTAAAAAAAATCATCCTGACAAAGAAGAACATAGGGAGAACGGGTTTGTTCCAGCTCACAGTTCCAGGCAGCCGCCCATCACTGCAGGGAGTCACAGTGCAAAGACTTGGAAGCTACTCACATCACAGTAGCTGAAGCAGAGAGAAGCGGGTCCATGCACTCTTCCCCTCTCTCACACTGCTCAAGACCCCTGCCTAGGGAACTGGGACACCCACAGTAGGCTGGATTTTCCTACAATCAAGTCATGTACAATCAAATCAACCCTTCTCAGTCCCACTCATAGGTCAACCTGATCCAGACAATTCTTCAGTCAAGGATCTCATCCCCGGGGGCTCTCGGCTGTGTCAAGATGACAATTAAAAATTAACCACCACACAACCTGTGTGTTCTTTCTCTTGATCAAGACCCAAAGATGGTATAACAAAGAGAATCAGTAGAGCATGACACATATCTTACAGTGAAGGACTGAGTTTGTCATGTTGATTTTCTTCTCATGAACCACGGGGATATCAAAGCCATGCTCTTCACTGCTGGGCATCCCAGGATCCCACGGCCACCCCTCTGTACGCTGCCGTGTTCTTGTCTTCTACTCCCCTCATATTTACCCACCTTCAAGCGCATCATTCTGGTGCCTGTCGTGGGGTGTGCTGGCTTCTCCAGGGTGGATTTCTTGTTTTCTGCATCGGATGCTATGTGGGTGGCTTCTGAACATGATACCAAAGCTACAGGATTCAGTGTCGGGGAACTGTTGCCTTCTGGGGCTCTCTAAAGACTACACCAAGAGGTGGGGTATATAATCTAGTGGGGCTATGTTAATTAGCCCATTTTCGGTGCTGTGATGAATTACTCAAGGCTGAGTAGCTTTATAAGGAAATAGTTTCATTTAGCTCACAGTTCTGGAGAGTCGGGTCATGGCAGGATGACATTATCAGCTCTGGTGGGGAAATCATGGTGGGGGGCACCATGTCAAACTGGAGCATATGCCAAGCCAGGAAGTGGGAGAGAGCATGTTGGACTCCTCCTTTTAAAGGTCCCAGCACCTCACCCCTTTTAAGATCAAACAGATGGATCTTTGGGGGACAGATCACAGTCTAAACGATGGCGATTATTATGGTCTCCACTCTGATGACTCACTGTGTCTGCAGCCACAGTAACGGGATCTGCAAACTCTATTCCAGCTAGGCTTCATGTTCATCCACTCATCTCCCTACTGAAAGACTCAGAAAGATGAGCGGCTCACTCAAACATCCCTAGCCCTCCCTCCCCCTTCCCCGTATCTCTCAGGTTGTAACAGAACAGTAAGCCATTCAATTCCCCTGAGTCAAAAGACAAGTTAGGATGTGGTCGGACTCTGCTTCATCACCAAAAAACACTGGTCATCACCAGTGAAGCTCACTCTTCTTGACTCTTTTAATCCAGTGAGGAAACTGAGGCAGAGAACATGTTCTTTGAGCCACAAAGCTAACGAAAGAGCAGGGAGCAGATGGCCCGCCTAGAGCGGTCATGCTGTCTCTCGGTGAAGCAAGGCGGCTCCCCGTAGGCGAAATAAAGCAGATTTTCTTCTGTTTGTTTACATTCTGCTAACAAGTAAAATAAAATATAGATATAATCAATCCACACACCATGCTAGGAAAAACACAAAGCAAACAGGTTCAGATTAAGTCAACAAGTTGCCTGTTCCTCCTCCTTCCCCTGTCCCAGCCTGGAGAAAGGTAAGGAGAAGTCTGAACAAAGTGAAACAGTCAGGCAAGGGTGAGCTTAGCCTGGAGAATGAGCAGAGGCAGGAGTCTAGCCAAGGAAGGAGAGACATGCTCCCTGTGACTAACGACACTCTCTGGAGGTGTTATGTGCTGCAAAGGAGACTGCAGGATGCAAAACCACCTTGTGCCACTGGGCTGTCATCCTCCTGCGGATCCCAAGCCTGGGTCCCACCTCTCCATGCTCTGCCTTGACTCTGGGAGTCCCAGAACATGACTCTTTTTCTAGATTCTTCCCATTTGGTTTCCTGGGCGGGCGATCCTGGATGGTTAGAAGGCAGGAGGATTGGAGACAAGGCTTTTCCTTTCCTAATGAACTCTTCCTTCTCCGAGCTCTGTCTGCTACCCTTCTGCCACAGGCCTTACAACAGCTTTTACAGGTTTCTCCATCCCACCCAGACTGAACCTGTGGCAGTTTCCTTGTCCTTGGTGCTCCAGTATCTCAGCACCATCTGGGCTCCCGTCCTCCATACTCCTGGCCACTCTGTATCAGTCTCCAGCCCTAAACACAAGAACACTATAGATGCTAATCCCCGCACAGTACTGCTAGCTCCTCTTGCTCTTTGACTCCTTCCAACACCTATATCATCAAATCTCCATGTTGAGAGGATCGTGTTTTCCTGCCTGGTCCTTATTGACACATTCCAGATGTCACGTCCGTAGCTGTTAGAAAAGACGCTTCAGGAATTGCCGACTCCTCCGACCATCCATCTACTCTGGCTTTGGGACATCTGCGCTGACCATCTCTGCACTTAGTGGACAGTACAGTCAGCCATCACACTTGTCATATGGCGCTACAAAACAATCTTTAGGATGAATTAAAAACCCTGAGGCTGAGACCACAGGGCTATTGGCGCAGGTGTATCTGATAAAAGCTGAGGCACCACCACAGCAGCCGGCACCCCATGCTCCTCTCGTTCTGCGCTCTTCTCCGCGCAGGGGTCTGTCCTGGACTCTTTGGGATGTGTTCTTCTCCTTTATTGTCTCCTATTCTCCCTTCTCCCCCCCCTTTTAAGATGAGAGGCCACCTATTAAAAAAGTCTCCTATTCCTGACCTAGTCCACCTGGGCTAGTGGTCTAACCTCATCTCAGCAATGAGAGTCTAACTCTTAAGGGTCTAACTCCTTGTTAGCTTGGTCCACTTCACTCTGCCTCATCCTCACACACCTCACCAATTCCTGTCTAACTCTCATGGTGCAGCTCCCAGAGATGGAGACGCCCTAGGGGACCCTGCTGTAAGGGTCTCTTAGGAAGAGATGGGTTGCCTCAGCTGGGGCTGACATACAACTACTAGAGAAGACTCCAAAACCAAGAGCATTGAAGCTCAGGGGCTTCCCGGCTTCCCTGCCCATACTCACACTCTCGGACGGTTTGATGAAACTGTCTAAGAGTAACTAATGCACAAGTACATTTCAGCCTCAGTTCTAATAACACCATAGGCTAAAGGGCAAAGCTTAAACAGAGTTTAGAAAACAAATTGACAATGTCAATGTAGGAGCTAAGTAGAAACAGACCACCCAAAGGAAGTTCTTTACTTCCAACCATTACCACCTGCCAGAGTAGGACTCTGAGTTGTAGATAGGATCACCTGCCGGCACACACTCACCAGGACATCCCTACACAAATGTCAGCCAATCAGAGGCCCTGAACCTCAGAAACCCCTCACCCCCACCTTTACTACTATTAAAAAAAAAAACCAACTCTAACTGAGCTCGGGGCTCGCTGTTTATTCCAATATGTTGGGCATGCGGAGAGACTGAGTTTGCAAACTTGCATAAAATAAATGCTCTTGAAAGAAAGAAAGGAAAAAAAAAAGAAAAAAAAATTGTACTGTTAGGTTAGAATCAGCTTTGTAAACAATAGAAGTTTCTGGAACAAGGATCAAGAAACCAGGAAACTGGCATAAAGTAGCAAGAAAAAAAAATAAATGCTCTTTGCTTTTACATACAGAACTTGGTCTCCTGGCTGGTTTTGGGGGACTTCCTAACAGTCAAGTTGTTAGCTTCAAATGTTCCATTTAAATTGCTTCAGATTTGACTGTCAAGGATAAGATAGAAGTGGAGAAAATGCAAATGATCTCTCTCTTTCTCTCTCTGTGTGTGTGTGTGTGTGTGTACACACGTGTGGAGGTCAGAGGTCAACCTCAGCTCTTCCCCATCACTCTCCATCTTATCTTTTGATGCAGTGTCTCTCACTGAACCTGGAGCTCAGGGATGGCTAGATTCTGGCAGGGGAAGCTGTCAGCCTTGCTGGGCTTTTAAGTATTTCAGCTCCTAGTCCTTGAGCTTGCTTGCCCTGCAAGCACTTCATCACCCCACCCAACTCACAAGTGACTGTGTTTTAGGGTGAACAGTCAACAAATACCAAGTATATGCATATTGTCAAATGCCCCCTTGAGGGATCACCCACACTTAACTCGTGTGGTCGGTCCTCAGGACAGTAAAACCATCGCCAACAAGGTCCGGAGTCTCTAACAACTGAGCCCCTGTCCCCCAGGCACCGGTGGAAGAAGCGGGTGTCACCTCACAGTTCACCCACAGGGTTGTACACCACCTGTCTCCCCTCACTGGCCAGTCCCCAGTTCTAGCCTGGCACGCCTCCTCCACCGTTTGGCCCTGAACACACTTCAGGATAAGTTCCTCCGCTGTGGTAAGCAGGGCCCGATCTCTGACAGCTGTTCCCCGCTCTTCATCAGCATCTGAAACAATCAGGAAGCATTAGAGAGTACTTTTCCCTTTACAAAGGTGATAATTAGATAACAAGCTGAGATTAAAGTAATTACAGTCAGACAGCTGGCGAGGCAGTACAGTCATGTTGAAATATTGTTGGTACTTCAGCATCTGGTTCTAATAACGGCATAGGCTAAAGGATTTTACATTAATTACAAAACATAATTTAATATAAACACATTTAATTACAATTGATGAGCGATAAACTGTTCAAGAATGACTTAACCCCTTCCGTGTGTCAAAGTGATGGGCAAACTGCGGCCTCCCTCTTCCAGGCAAACCCTCCACAACTCCCTGACCCGCTCTCTCGGAGGAAGCCGCCTCCTGAAGGCATGTTTCAGGCAAAGATGTTGCTGAGAAGGCCTTGAGCGTCCCACGCATGCGCAGTGCTCACTACCCTTGGAACATCTACAGAGAAGGCTGCGCAGCGGCCAGGCTTGATGCCGTGCCTGGTACTTGAAAAATGAAGCAGTGTCAGCCTTTTCTCTTGGTCCCTCTGCCATGCGGTGCTGGCATTGCTCCCAATGGTCAGCCTATGTGCATCCTATGAAAGTGTCGTGTTCCCTTAGGAGATGGTGTTTGTGCGTGCGGGCACATGTATGGGCGCAACTTTTTACATGGGTGCTGGGGATCTGAACTCAGGTCCTCACCCTCATTCGGCCGCGAGCACGTTACTGACTGGATTATCTCCCAGCTCCTCCTCTTACTAAGTATTTAAAGGTGAATCCATCTTCTTTACTAAAGCAGGGGCGGAAACGTCCCTAGGTCCAACAGTCAGGGTCCTGCCACCAATGGAAAATCAGTGTTTAAAAACACCTAAGGTCCAAATGAGGAGCAGAAGGAGGGAGAACATGAGCAAGGATGTCAGGACCGCGAGGGGGGCACCCACCCACTGAGTCGGTGGGGCTGATCTAATGGGAGCTCACCAAGGCCAGCTGGACTGGGAATGAAAAAGCATGGGATAAAACCGGACTCTCTGAACATGGCAGACAATGAGGGCTGATGAGAAGCCAAGGACAATGGCACTGGGTTTTGATCCTACTTCATGTACTGGCTTTGTGGGAGCCTAGCCTGTTTGGATGCTCACCTTCCTAGACATGGATGGAGGGGGAAGGACCTTGGACTTCCCACAGGGCAGGGAACCCTGACTGCTCTTTGGACTGGAGAAGGAGGGGGAGGGGAGGGGAGAGAGGGGGAGAGGAGTGGGAAGCAGAGAGGAGACAGAAATTTTTAATAAATAAATAAATAAATAAATACAAACACCTAAGGTTCTACCTGAGACAAGGCATTATTCCGGCAGAAATTCTCCCTTACAAGCTACAGATCTGAATCCTTACCTCCAGAACTAGCTGGGACTATCTTGGGGTTCCTGTTGTAACAAATTGGGGTCACACAGACACAGTCTCCACTAGACAAGGACATCACCCTCATTAACTGCAGGAGACCCTTCCAGATGCCCCTCTTTAAATGGGAGACATTTAAAAGTCACAGTAGCTAAATGTTGCTAAGTCACAATTACAGTGAGGTGACCCAGACAGCAACCCCAGAAAGGCCTAAGGCTGACTCTTCCTAAGAAAGAGTGTGTGGCCTTGAGCAAGTTGGAAAATAGCCATCAAATTTCCCTATTTGACAAATGATAGGACATTACAAATTACCTCAAATAATGTCTTTGCCATTTGCTGTGGGTTTTTAAAGTGTAGTGTACAAGTCTGTACTAGAAAAGAGACAGTTTACCAGGGTGGGAAGCTGCTCAGCTTAGTACTTGCTAGGTAAGTATGGGACCCACGTTCATATCCCAGCACCTATGTAAAACCACCAGGCATGGTGGCACATGCTGCAATCCCAACATGGTGGAGCTAAGAAAGAAACATCCCAGGGGCTAGTTGGTTGAATTGTCTAGAGAAATTGATGAACTCTAGGTTCAGTGAGAGGTTCCGTTTCAAATAATAAGGTTTGGGAAGAAATTGAGGAAGACACCCAACATGATGGCCTATGACCTCCACGTGTGCATAAACACAAACACTAAACAACACACACACACGAGAGAGAGAGAGAGAGAGAGAGAGAGAGAGAGAGAGAGAGAGAGAGAGAGACTCTAAAAGAAAGTTATTCTGTATACCCTCTTGCTAAGAGAAGAAACCTGAGTTTCCTAGCATGGAGCTCTGCGATCTGAATGGGAGCCCTTGACAGATTAAGCTCCTTTAAAGTGAGGAAGGAGGTGGGACAGAAAGCAGCCAGCACAGCATTGGCTGCTCTAAAATGAACTGCTTCTCTCCAGTTCATTCAACTTAAAACATTTGTAAATCATAAGAGAAAAAAAAGTGAAAAGAAAACCCAGTGTGAAAGAAAGTTTACAAATCACACACACATATATATATGAGGATATATGTTAATATATGGTATATATACATATATATATGGAACTGTTACAAACCCTCCAAAAATATAAAAAAGCAACAACAACAACAACAAAAACACCCAACTAAAGGAAGCAAAAGATTTGAACAGATATGTTCCCAAGGAAGGTCTGTCCAAGCTCAGGTGCTTGGTATCAGTAGTCATCGGAAACCAGGGACCAATGGGAATGTGACAGCCGCTCACATACAATAGGGTGGCTGCTAGTTTAAAAATCAGTAATAGCAATCACTGGTGATGAAGTGGAGAACCCAGAACCTTCATGCCCTGCTCACACAAAGTGAATACAGACACATTGGATGCTCCTCAACTCATCACACAAGGAGTTGGCATGCCACCTAGAAATTCCACTTATGTATGTATCCAAAAGAACTGGAAAATGCCTGCACACAAAACAATCCACGCCAAATGTTAATAGCAGTATTGCTCATATTAGCCCCCAAATGTGAACATTCTAAGTATCTGTCCCCTGATGAGTGAATGAACAAAGTGTGGCGCATCACACGTCCTGGTCTGCAGGAATGACGTACTGGGGGAGACTACAAACAGATGAACCTGGCGAACCCCGTGCCAAAGTCACTCATGCCATCCCACTCCTGTGCAAAGTCCAAAAGAGGCAAATCGAGAGAGACAGGATGCAGATTAATGGTTGCCAGCAGGTGAGCCTGCTAAAAGGTATGGGGTTCCTCTGGGGGAGTGATGGAAATATTCTGTAATTTGATGTGCTGGTTACACATTGTAAATATGCTAAAGCTCACTGACCTGCTTATACTTTAAAATGTTTGAAATGGAGGCCTAGAGAGATGTCACAGCAGTTAAGAGAACATACTGCTCTTGCAAAAGACCCAAGTTGGCTTCTCAGCCCTGTGAATCCAGCTCCAGGGGATCTGGTGCCCTCTACTGGCCTCCAATGGCCCTGCACTCACATGCACATACCCACACACAACCACATACCTTAACTAAAAATAAAAATCTCTCAATGGCTGAAATACTGAATTTGTTGTTACATGTATTTACCTCCATTTTTTAAAAAGACTATCAACATATGTGGCTGGAGTTCAATCCTAGTGGAGAATCCTGGGGGGTCTATGTAAACTGTGCATCTCAAAGTTATCGCAGTCAGAAGGGGAGAAAGTTGGGGGTGCCCATACACCAGTCTCACCAGCCCATAGCAAAAGCCTGCTCTCAGGAAGGGTCAGCACGTCTTGTCTGCCTATAAAAGTAGTTCTGCTCATGTTCTCCCTCCTACTGCTTTTCATTTGGATTTTGGGAGCTCAATCCGGTGCTCCAATGTGGGTCTCTGTCTCTATCTCCATCCATCGCCAGATGAAGGTCCTATGGTGAAATGCAAGATATTCATCAGTTTGGCTATAGGATCGGGCCATTTCAGGCTCCCTCTCCTCAGATGCCCAAGAAACTAGCTGAAGACATCTCCATGGACACCCGGGAACCCCTCTAGAGTCAAGTCTCTTGCCAAACCTAAAATGGATCCCTTAATTAAGATATATACTTCCCTGCTCCCATATCTACCCTTCCTCCATCCCAACCATCCCATTCCCCCAAGCTCTCCCCATCCTCCCCTTCTCACTTTTCTTTCCCCGTCTCCCCTTACCCCCATCCCACCCCATCCCCAAGTTCCCAATTTTTGTCTGGCAATCTTATCTACTTCCAATATCCAGGAGGATAACTATATGTTTTTCTTTGGGTTCACCTAAGTCAGGACCGAGAGGGGTACGCCCACCCACTGAGTCGGTGGGGCTGGTCTAATTGGAGCTCACCAAGGCCAGCTGGACTGGGAATGAAAAAGCATGGGATAAAACCAGACTCTCTGAATGTGGTGGACAATGAGGGCTGATTGAGAAGCCAAGGACAATAGCACTGGGTTTTGATCCTACTTCATGTACTGGCTTTGTGGGAGCCTAGCCTGTTTGGATGCTCACCTTCCTAGACCTGGATGGAGAGGGGGAGGACCTTGGACTTCCCATAGGGCAGAGAACCCTGACTGCTCTTTGGACTGGAGAGGGAAGGTAAGGGCAGGGGGATGGGGGAAGGGGTGGAAATGGGAGGTGGGGAGGAGGTGGAAATTTTTAATAAAAAAAAAAGTAGTTCTGTGAGCCAAAGAAAGACATGAAGCCCAGCAGTGCTGGTGATGTGTCCCAGTGTGCCTCCAAAGGACACGGGCCAGCAGGTTCAGGCTGTACGTTGGCATTCTTGTTACTCTCTCTCATGGTAAGAGCAAATGAGAAACTGAGTGAGATGCATCTCAGTGCCGTGCAAAGTGCAAGCTCACCATAAAGGTGAGTTCTTTGTATAGAAGACTCAATAAGGTTGAACAATTTTTTTCCAAAACCGTATAGGTCACTGCAAGATGAAGATAGAGTTTATGTAGTTTTCTCTGTAGGACAGAGTGTCTCCGGTAGACAATTAAATTGACCAAAAATCTACTAACCACTCTAGCAAGCATGCTGCTCAGATGGCAATCAAGTGGTCAAGGCATCCAGAGGATAGAATAAACAACTTTTACATCTCTCCTCCCCACTACCACGCATCCTCTGTGGGGAGACAGCTGCTTCTCTCACACAAAGGCCTTGAGGGTTGATGTTAATATCTACTCGAGTTGCCCAGCATCTGAACATCATGTGGTTTGTTATGTAGGTGTTTATTTGAGCTTCAATAAACACATTTGCTGACAGGTTAGTGCAAAGAGTACCGAGATATGTGAACACCTGAGACCCCGGGAGAGGCAAAGCAACAGACTCCTTGCCCACATGTCCAGCCTTCTGTTCTCCTTTGAGGAGCCCAGTATCCAGGCTGCTCCGCGGCAGAGGTCTATATGGAGGAACGCTCTACTCCAAGGCCCAAGCAAGGGCATCCAGCAAGGGCAAAGGGAGATGCGTGCCTACCTGGTCAGGTAGCTGCCGAGGAGAGTGTCGAAGAAGCTGTAGTACACAGAATTGTTCACGTGGCCATTCTGGTCATTGTCCTGTCACCTGCTCTGAATGGGCAAGAAGTCCCCATAGGCCTCCAGCTGCCGATGGCGATCCTCGGCTCTCTGGTTGGCTGAGGACGTAGCCAGGGAAGGGGTGACATTCCTAGGAAGTAGTCTCCACAGCCGAGGAATCATAGTGAGTGCTGATTCAGAATCCCTTCAAGGAAAAAAGCAACCATGCTACGAATGTCTGTGAGAAATCTCATCTTAGTTTTCAGCAACTGCATACAATTTTGAGCACTAGTTTGAAAAGGATGCTGGTTTTCTTTCTTAGGAAATGACTCTACCGTGATCATCCAAACCCTTATCATAAACTCTAGCTACTTACTTAAAGGACTCCTAGGGCTGGTAGGATGGCTCAATGGGTAGAGGTGCTTGATGCCAAGGCTGGCAAGCAGTGTTTGATCCTCTGAACCCACAGGGTAGAAAAAGAGTATAAAAATGGATTCCCCCAAAGTTGTCCTCTGACATCCACAGGGGCAGTGTGGCACACACACAAATAAATGTGAATTTTTTTTTAATTAAGGGCTCTTTACTAAAAAGGTTTAATCACACGATGCAGAAACAGGCAACACCTTTATGGGAATTTTAAAAGAAGGGGTTTTAATTGTGCTTGTATGGAATTCTTTTGTTCTACAAAGTATTTTTAATAATATAAAAATCTAATAAAGTCTATAAAGTACTCAAGAGAGTATAAAAACACAGCTTAGGCCATCAGTATAAAATAAAATACTCACAACTATCAAGAGGATCTGATGACTATACGTTTTGAAAAGAAAAGCATCATCAATTTCTAAAGAAATTATATATTCCAGAAAAACACTCAATGCACTTTTAGAAGAGGAAAAAATGCACCAATACCCGTTATTAACAAACATTTCCATGAGTGCTATCGAGTGTTATTTCAGTCTTGTAAATCTGAGTGTACATTTTAAAACGGGATCCCACTGTATGTGTTGTTTTGAGCTCTCTACTGAACAATAGGCCACTAATGTGTTTACATATTCATCTGCCTCTGTGGTAGCATTAAATTCCATTATATCTCATTGCATTGATGCACCAGGATTTATCACTTCCCACATGAATGCGTATTTAGTGTTTGATTCCAGTTTGGGTCATGAGATGGAAATCTTTCTAAATAAATCTTTATGCGTATTCACCATTATTTCCTTAGGATAAATTCCTACAAGCAAAATTGCTGGGCCAAAGGACAAATGAATTGTTAAGGATTTTGATATAAATTAATACCCTCTGGAAAGACGGTACCAATTTGTCCCCTCCCTAGCAATGCATGAGCAAGCCAATTTCCCTGTCAATTGTAAAATGCTTTGTCAATTTGACTGTGTTCTCTCATTTCCATATAAATTTAATGAAATGTGCTAAGTGGAAAGATGACTGCGACTCCTAGCAAAGATGGAGTAACCCAGACCAGAACAACCTTCTGTGTACGTGAGAAGCTGTCACAGAACAGCCGTGGGAAGCTATTAGGAAGCACAGGCAAGGTAGGCTTTAAAAACCACAGGGGCACAGTGGTACATCTTTGGGAGGTACTCACTAGCCACCAATTGTTTCCTCAGGATCTAACTGCAAGCTAGAACTTGTGGTGTTCATTTGCTTGTTTGTTCATTCCTTGCTGTTCAAGGGACAGAACCCTGAACCTTAACCATGCTCTGAAAACGCTCTACCACTGAGCCCTGGACAAATCTGTGCTGTTCCTGCTATTCTATAATAAACAAGTATGGAAGAACCAGCAGCATCCAGAAGGAGTACAAGCTTCAGAGGGAGGAGACTAAACACCATTCCTTTTAAGACACTCAGTGGGGCATGAGCTTCTTGAGTGAGATGGGAAAGATCCCAGCAGGAAGCACAATGGTCATGAGGTTGAAACTTGAAGACGAAAATAAGATTCTTATGGTGCTAATGGTACAGAAATCAGCTTTCAAGGAGTAGGACAAAAGCTAGTGGGTGAAAAGACAGAGTAGTCAGAGTGCATGAAGAACCTTGACAACTCCCACGATAAAAAGATTTTTAAGACCCCAACTGAAAAGCTCAGTTGGAAGAGTGTCTGCCTAGCATATACAAAGCCCTGGGTTCCATGACTAGGGTGGCATAATCAGGCATGCTGGGCATCTTAGTAGTAAGAGATGGAAGCAGGAGGATCAGAAGTTCAAGGTCATCCTTGGCTGCATATTGAGTTGGATAAGCTCTTCACACAGTGAACAATACACATTTATAAACTGACTCAAAAATGCATGCAACATAAAAGACTTAAAGAGACTACCTACCAAGTAACCAAATAATCCAGTTAATAAGAGGGGTAATGGATGAACAGACAGTTCTCAAAAGAGAAAGTACAAATGGCCAATAAGCATATGAAAACACGCTTCAGCAACTGTAGCCATTAGGGAAATGCAAACTAAAACCACACCCAGATTTTTTTCTCTCTCTTCCGTCTGATGACTACCATTAAGAAAATTAAGAACAAACATTGGGAAATATGTAGAGATAAGAGAACCCTATACACAACACTGGGAGGAATGTAAATTAGTAATTTGCTCACATTGTAATTTTACATTGTAGAAATCATTATATGGGGGAGGGGACGGGGAGAAGCAGCTATACCACTCCTGAGAATAGGCCCAAAGAATTCTGGTCAACAGACCACGGGGCTGCTTCTCACCAGTGTTTCCTGCAGCTCTATTCATGGTAGGCAAGCCACAGAATCAGCCTGGGTGTCTGCGAAAGGATGGACGGATACAGAAATGTGTTGTATTCAACCATAAAGAAGAATGAAATCACATCTATTGCAGGAAAACGAATGCAACTGGAGATTATCAAGCCAAGAGAAATAAACCAGATTCAGAAAGACAAATACCGCAAGGCTTTTTGGAATCGTAGATTTGATATAGATACATAAAACATGCATATAGCACATGAAAGTACAAGGGAGACCGGGGGAACGAAAGGTAATAACGAGAGGGGAGAAGGAGAATGTCAAAGTATATGATATTCATGTATGAAAATGTCCCCACGAAAGCCATCAGCATAGACAAAGAAAACACGCCAGTGTGAGAAAGTTGTGGTATTGATGATGTCTAGGACCTGTTTATTCCTAGCTCTGAAAACAAATGTGCGAAAGAGCAGCTATAAAATGTTCTTTTTATATTTAAAAGGAGCTGTGGGGCGATAAGACGCAAATGCATTTCTTTACTTACTTATACCTACAAACAAAAGCTCAGGAAAGCACATTAGCATAGAGGTGGCAGGGGGAAGGAAGGCAATATATGTTTCTGCTGTGTTTTGGGGACGGTTTTGGTTTGGGGATAATGATGATATTAACAGTAGAGGAGAATGCAAAATCCAAAATGAAATATAAACAGAAACAAATGAACTCAATGGTTTCTCAAGTAAAAAGAATCACCCAAAGCAGACCAACACTTTGGCTAATCACTCTCAGTCTAGGGGCAAAATGATCAGTTAACAAATATTGAACATTAAGATTATTAATTTTTTTATAGCAATAGAGCTAATACTTATGAATCAGTCTCTTACAAATCTAAACCTAAATGAGTAAAAACAGTGAGAGTAGTATGAACCAGGTTCCTCACCTAGAGAAAGGACTTAAAAATACTGAGGCTGGGGATATGGCTTGGTGGTTAAGAGCATCCACTGCACTTTCAGAGGACCCAGGTTCAATTCCCAGCACCCACATTGACCAGTTCACGACTGCCTGTAACTCCAGCTCCATAGACTCTGCTTGGCATTATCTTCTGGCCTCCACAGCCACCTGTACAAACCACATGGCACTCTTTCACATAAACCCACACATATACACATAAACAAAAATAATCTTTTAAAATTAGACATAAAAGAGAAAGACAAAAAGTAACTGTCTAGCATTAGATTCAATTTGTGAGGGGGGCGGCGATTTTAAAGATAGTCTCATCAATCCTAGATGTACTGAGTACAGATACAGGGGCTGGCCAACAGCACCTAATGTCCAAATTTCAATTTCTAAGTACCATTATAGCCCACCGCCTAGGAACCAGAGGCTTTGAAGACATGACAGCTCCTAGTATGAGGAGAGCAGAGAGAGTAAAAGATGATCACGGAACACTGTTATGCCGAAACGTTCAGAAATGTTCAAAGAACACGGCTGGTCTTTGCAAAAGCTCATAGGCGCTCCTTGGGGGCTCCTAGTGGCACAGTCTGGATCACATAAACATCAAGGATAAAGTAAAAGGCCTTCAACGCAATGACAAGAAGACTTAGCCAATGAGAGCAGAAGACAAAGAATGATACCTTTCAAGGATGTAAATGGTAGCAAAGCTAGCACTGTACACCCAGGGAAGACACTTCTCAAAAGGCAGACAAAGCAGGGACTTCAGAACAGTATCACCTTCGTTAGCATACTGACATGTGACCAAGAATGCCGAAAACCAAGCTCATTAGATATGTAGGAATGAATCAAACAGCACACGTGGGTCCTAGTTCGTCTCTCTGTGGGGTTGACGAAACACTGACCAGAAAATACTTGAAGGGGTGAAGATTTTCTTAGCTTAATTCCAGGTCACCATCCATCACTGAGTCTCCGGAGTCACCAGCAGGTCAAGCTTCTGTCGAGGAACATACAAGGCTCTACACTCCCAAGAAATGCTGCTTACGGGCTTCTTCTCTCTGACGTATTCACCCCAGAGCCGTCTGCCCAAGGATAGCGTCACTCACAGTGAGCTGGGTTCTCTCACATCAGTCATCAGTCAAGATGATCTCCGTAAACATGCTCACAGGCTACTATAAACCCACCCAAACTTGTGGTGTGGAGTGGAAGACAATAATAGTCTGTCATCCAAGATACACTTAAAATGAGAAAGTTCCGGGGGCTGGCGAGATGGCTTAGCGATTAGGAGCACTTGCTGCTGTTGCAGAGGCCCAGAGTTCTGTTCTCAGCACCCACAGTGAATGGCTCGCAACTTCCTGTAGCTCCAGTTCTATAGGACCCAATACCCACTCTGATCTCCAACACCTCTACCCATGTGCACACAGAGAGAGAGATCCAAATAAAAATAAAATGGGTTTTTAAGTAAGAAGGATCTTTTGGGTGTTGCTTCGTTTTTCGAGACAGGATTTCTCTGTATTAACAGCCCTGGCTGTCCTGGA